CCATATCTGTTACTAATGCATGTACTATTGCACCACTGACTCTTAATTTAATTATTGTTTCAAATATTATACTTTTTAAATCATGATTCCGACATGTACTTTCGACAAAACAATAACATAAGGGAAGTTTCCAATTTCCTGCAATGCTACGTGCCATTATAACAAAAACGTTTTTTGCAGGTACAGATGATTTTTCCTTTCCATTATCCTCAAACCCAATAATTTCATCTCGCGATACATTATAAAATAAATGAGATTTTAAACTCATCTTATCCGCGCATAAAATACAATGTCTATCCATCGGAGGCAATGACTTTAATTTTAATGCTAAAGTATCAAAAATTTTATTATTTAAACCAGGTGCAATATTCCACGTTTGAGTCAATGATTGTAAACAACGTATTGAGGGTAATGGAATTGATTTCTTCAATTCTCTATAGTTTCGCGGACTTAAAAAATATAAACATAATGCAAATTTTTTAAATTCAGGATTGTACCTTCTACCACGACTACGTTTTACTTGCGCATCAATTTGTGCCGACAACAATCTCGCAAACCTTACAGGTAATAACTTACTTCCTAATGTACGCAGAGTCTCAAACTGATCCGCATCCTCCGCATTTGCTGCTTTTTTGTTGGAGTTAGGCACTTTACCTTTTCGTAACCGTCTAATCGTTTCTCGCAGACTTTTAACTTGCGCTTTCAACTTCTTATTCTTCAATCTCAGTTTCGTCTTTCGAGGAGAATTGTCGGAAGACATATTTGCTTGCTGGGTCTTCGTACATGTGCCAGATGTGCTCCTGCGCACACAAAATATTTACATTTCTTACAGATTGCAAAAACAGATAATAAATTAATACAGTAAAGCCCGTATCAGACTACGGATTGGGATTGAGATTGGATTGAAATTTTATCAGAGCAAAGTTTACTAAACTTGAGATCAGTTTTCTCTGTTCTGATTGATTAAATTTCAATCCAATCTCAATCCCAATCCGTAGTCTGATACGGGCTAAAGAGATATATAGATTGAAGTAAAATAAATAAAACTTACGGTCCAGCAATTTCAGCATCATTATTCATTACACGTTCAGGTTCAGGTAATTGCAAGTTACTGCAAAAGGTATAATTAAAAGAATGTTATTTTTATTACAATATTCAAATATTTTCCAAACATTGAAAAAAATTATTATATATATTGTTTTTGGTAAGTGTTTATAAAAATAATTACTGGTCTCTTATTATTACCTGTTATTTTCTTCTCTGCTTGTTGATGGAGTTGCAATCTGTACATCCAGATCCATCTCAAACGTTCCAACGTTGAAACATGTACTGCTACAAAAAAATCGAGTTAAATGAGCTATTACAATTTTGGTTTTAATATTTGTATATAAAATGTGTGGTAATTGTGACGATTCTTAAACATGAAATTATATTTCACGTCGGACAAAATCACTTGTAAAAATAACTTCAAATATATAATTAATCGAATATTTGAAGATAGAAATGATACGTAAAATCGATATTATTCAATGTTATTAGAAGAGCAACGCGCGTAATCCACATTCCATATATCTAAACCGATCGATTTTAGTTTCCAAACTCAACACGTGCATATTTCGTACATCATATAAGAAAACTTTTCTAAGGAAAAAAGGCTATTGTCCTAGGTCCTTCTCTCCGTCCACCATAAAAAGAATTTATAGTGGAGGGGACAAGAGGCCACAAAAGCCCGCTAGGATTCTGTAAAATTTCAGTCTGCTTCAGTCTGCTGGTAGCAACCAAATGCAGAAGTTGTGTATACTGGTGACGATCACGTGTTCGTTTAAGCCAAGCGTTTCGTTTCGAGAGCGTTCGCGATGATCTGCAAAATGAACGAATTGTGGCGATGCTTCCGACGAACGTTTCGTGTGGATTACGGGACAATAATTTCGATGCCGGAACAGACATGTAGACCATTTTATACACATCATTAAAATAATTGAAAAAATATAAAAAAATTCATACATCTTCTTTGAAGTTAACTATGTTATAAAATATTATAAATTAAAAAATAGAAAAAAGAGTTGTAGATATTTCTTATATTTTTTGATATTTTAAATTCTTCATCGATTTGAGTATTTCTGCATTTGATTGCTACCAGCAGACTGAAGCAGACTGAAATTTTACAGGATCCTTGCGAACCCTTGTAGCCTTTTATCCCCTTCACTATAAATTCTTTTTATGATGGATGGAGAGAATTAAGGACCTAGGACAAGAGCCTTTTTTTCCTATATATATATATTTTTTTTTATTTGACGCACCTTGTTGTTTCTTCTTGTACAGTGTCCATTGACATGTGTTGTTCAATGTTCAAAGCCTCATCGTTGCCCATTATTGTGCTTCTGGAAAAAAGTTGATTTGAGTTATGTGTTAATTTAAATATAATTTTTCTAATATTTTTATGATAAATGCAAAAATAGCTTACACATTATTGTTTTCATTTTCCATTGATACTATTACATCCGTTGATACTGTAGAAGCTGTAGTACTGCTGTAAAATAATATATTTTTAATTATTTTATATTACTATCAAAAATATTCTGAAGTATTACAAAACTATAGATTTTCCAAATAAAGAGTAATTAAAACTAATATAAATAAAAACTTACTTATTATTAGTGAACTCTAAACATCTTGTTGGTACAGCATCTGGATGAAGGCGAGCTCGACTTTTGACCATTTTATATTTATCTTCCTCAAAATGTACATGGCACAATCGACAATTGCGGTGAGCATACTCGGGGCCTTTCGGTATTAAATCTGATCTTCTGCATGCTTGAACCCATGCCAACCACCTGTATATGTCAGAATAATTAATTAAATTACGCAAATAATGAAATAATAATGTAAACAATTATTAAAATAGTATTTGTACCTATCATGTTCTTTTGGAAAAAGGAAGAAGTGTCGTTTTTCCACATTTATGGTGCTCATACATCCTGTCACTGCACACCAATGACTTTCTTTTTTAAAGTTTTTAATGGTTTTTTCCATTTTCTAATTCCTTCTCGTAGCAAAAAACCTGAAACAAAGCTAAGATCAAAGTGCTCTCAAAGAAAAGAAAACCTGTATAAAATTTATACAGGTTAACTTTCCTTCCTATGCTTCCAATACACAAATCACTTCACAATCACTTCACAAATCTCTTCACAATCACACACTTTACAATCACACACTTCACACAATTTTTTTCCCGACTTTTATCAAGTCAATCTATAGCTGTCTATAGCACTTTAACGCCTTAGCATTTAAATGCGCCTCTAAATCCGTTAGAAAAGGAAAGAGAGTAAGAAGAAAAGAGACAGAGGTAGTGCTTTATTTCGCGCATGCGCAATCCGTTTTGGCCAACACGAAATCAGAGGAGTTGCGCTACTGTATATACTGTGCCCGCGCCGAGACCCGCGCCGATCCGTCGACGTGTAAATCATTGAGAGCTGATTGTTTCCGCTCGCTGCATATTCGTTGCATGTCCTAAAATAACAATGCATGGTGCAGAAATAGGCGCACTTAAATCTTCCAAAAGTGTACCTTCCTAGGAAATAGATAAATTTTAATTAAAGTTTTAAAAGTTATGTCTGTATGATTTAAGAGAATATTGAAGGTTAAACGTACATATATATAACATATAATATACATGTATGTATGTACATATGTTCTTGTCACGGATATGTCACGAATTACTACTGACGATACTTAAAAAAGTTTACGTATGCACGTAGGAAGTATTCGCCAACAAGCTTGCTGACAACCTAAATATACATATGACGGTCTCATGAATAATCTCTACGTAATTGTAATAAATTATATTAATGTTAACGGTATATCTTCGAGTTATAGACATTGACTTAGATCTGATTTATGCTCGGTGTAATCCAAAGACCAGAAACATAAATTCTACGGAGTAAGCTGACAGAAAATAACAGGCAAGACATGTATAAATTATTATACATATGTATTTTGTGGCAGAACTTTGGTAAACGTTACTCATTCACGTGTGTTCATTTAGGCCTGACAGTATTGTATATCATACATATTAAATTAATTGTGTCGTGTTAAGTACAGAAATTAAAGTATATATCAAGGCTACTTTATACGCGATAATATTAAAAGTCGTTACTTAAAAATAAAGTTAATAAAAAAAGTCAACACAAGTACAGAAAAGAATCTTAACATAATAAAGTATACGCTTTATTAATTTTCATTTTTTTGTTAATATATTAATTTCTTGTTTTTTTCAATTCTCGAGAATTTCTGCGAAAATCCCAATAACAATTTTTCTAACATTTAGAAAAACCGATCGTTGACTATTCTTAAAGCGATCGATGTACGATTTAAGGTACAGGTAATTTTTTTCTTGATGACTCATCATGAGATACACGGAGCATAAATCTTCGACAATGAGTCGAGTAACTCGTCGTCTGAAACTCCTTAATCGATGTGCCTCTTACGTCTAACATACACACTCAATATGTATCAGCTAAAATGTAAATGCAACTTGATCGCGGATACGAACTTCATTTAGGTTTATTTAGGGCAGTGTTAAGTAATTACTTCCCTAAACGGTACAGCCCACATTCGCAGCGCACTTACAATATTTCGGCATTTGTAGTGTCGAACGTAACTACCTAGGTTTTAATCACTTGAGGATTCGCATGCTATTTTGCATTGCATCATTAGAAACAAGGAGGATTTATGCAAATAATTGAGGATCCGAATTTCAAACTATAGTAATCCAGAAAAATCAAAATTAAATTCCTTTCAGAAAAGATGTTAGACAAAGAAAAAATTTATAGTTTTCTATTTCATATCAAATAAGTCTATAAAAACACATCTGAAATCTAAATTACTCTATGTCCATTTATTATAATCTTTTTCAAGAAACGTCATAATTGAAACAATATATATGTATATTGTATCTTGAAAAATATGAGTCTTTCAATATAAGTTATGTTACAAAAATACTAAATATAAAATAATAAAAAATAAAAATGATTAAATCTGAGATTTCTTCTATTTTCCGAAAATTTCTTATTTTGAGACTACTACGATTTTGTATTCAGATCCTTTATTCTTGCGATGATAAGCTATTGATACGGAATCTAGTTACAAAAATCGATCGCCTGCATTTTCTGACTTTTGAATAATTCAGAAGTAGGCTGCGTAGGCATCGTCCAATACATGATATTTGATGAGAAGAAGGGATAAAACTAGACAGCCGCTTTTAGCATTTAAAGTGCGCCATAAACGCGGGCTTAAGGGGGTCGTCTAGTCAAGAGGCTGTTTTTTTTTTGGGAATTTTTTGTAAGGAATCATAAGAATACACTTTTTTTGAAACTTTTACATCATATTTATTGATATTTGAAGAGTATTTAGAAATTTTTCCAAGTTGATATATGGTCAAGAATCCGCTGTAGAGCGCCCCGACGACAGCTGTGTAAAAAAAACGGTAACCACGATTCCGGATCTCCAGTTCATCCTAAAAAAAAAAAAAAATTCCTTTTAATCTGTGGATGTGTGGCTAACGTGTGAACTAGAACCAAATAAAAATATTGAAATTTCAATTTTTGCCAACGTTTTGAAAAAAAGTTTCATTATGAACTTTTTTTCAAAACGTTGGCAAAAATTGAAATTTCAATATTTTTATTTGGTTCTAGTTCACACGTTAGCCACACATCCACAGATTAAAAGGAATTTTTTTTTTTTTCGTTTTTTCATTTGTTTGCGTAATGAAAGAGAAGATGCAATAATTATTTTCTTTACAGCATAAAATTGTGCATAGTTGCCACAACATGCCTTACAGAAGCGACATGTGTAGATGTATACGAAACAACTGTTTTACTAACAAACGTTGTAAATGTAAAAGAGACGAAAAAAACAAAAAAACATGCACAGTTTATTGTAAGTGCCGCAAGGGTGGGAGAGAGTGCATTGATGTAAGTATAGATATTTAATTACATACATTACATACATAATTATTACTTTTACATAATTTTTTTTTTTTTTTTTTTTTTTATATTAAATAGCCAGCATCTGTGGCATCGACCAGCACTGCTTCAACTTCGACTTCGAATATTCGGCCCCTGACGGTGGAATGCCTAACTCTAGAATCAGAATCAGAATCAGAAGAAGAAGAACTTGAAGTTGTTGAAACAATAATAAATCCGTGGCAAGAAAAATCAAAAAAATTGGAAAACGAGAAGGTGAAGGAAATGGAAAATAAAATCGATGCCTTGGAAAAACAATTACAACAAGTACAGAAAGAAGCAGAAGATAAAATCGATGCCTTGGAAAAACAATTACAACAAGCACAGAAAGAAGCAGAAGAATGGAAAATTTTGGCTTATAAGAAGATAAACGAATGCAGGATATTGCGTAATGCAAATCATGAATTAACAGGAAAGATACAAGTTTTTTGTCGAATCCGACCACGAACGTCAAAAGAAATGCTCCAGCAGAAAGCGTAAGTAAATGTGTTTTGTAATTATTAGAGAAAATTTTGTATAAAGTTTTTGAGAAGATCAAATTTGGAAATTAAAAAATTAATAATATATTTTCTTAATTCTTTTCTTAATTTCATGAGTTTCTTTCAGCAATTATTATAAATAAAAATATATTTTATTCAAGGTTTTGATATTTTGATTTGTGTATTTAAATGAAAATTGTGTTTGTTACAGGTTGTGTAATATAAACTTCATTGACAATTGTACTATTGAAGTAGATAAATCGGATGGATCAGATGCAATGAGCTGCAGTGGAAAGCAACAAAGAACAAAACAATTTTCATTTGATAAAGTATTTGCTTCCAATGCTTCGCAAGCAGATATTTTTCTAGAATTGTCGCTTTTGATAGAATCATCGCTTGAAGGATATAATGTTTGCATATTTGCTTATGGTCAAGCCGGTTCTGGCAAGACATATACTATGGAAGGAGAACGTGAACCACAGACTGAAGGCATTATACCTAGAACAGTATGTTTTTATATATATTTACAATATAATATGCGCGCGCGCGCGTGTGTGTGTGTGTGTGTGTGTGTGTAATTAAATCATACTTTTATATAAATATTTAAATTTACGATTGTAATTTGGCTTTTTAGAATCAAAAAGAAAATTGAAATACGTGTATTTAATTTCAGGTACGCCATATATTTAGAGTCATACAAGAACGACAACTAATGTCGACAACTACATACAAAATTAAAGCTAGTTTTTTGGAAATTTATAATGAGGAGCTTTATGATCTTCTCGAAACAACACCAAAAAAAATTGAAATTAAATATGATTGTGCAAAACCCATAATAAATCAACAAGATTTAGAAAAATATCTACAACATGCACGTCATAACAGACGCGTGGCATCCACTGCATCAAATGAACGGTAATTTTATTTTGAAATGTTTAATGTATAATTTAATTTAAAATAAATAATAATTTGCATTTCAGATCATCCAGATCTCATTTAGTAGTAAGAATAACTGTAAGTGCGTCTACAAAAGAAGGAGTGTTACCAACAGGAAATCTGGATTTCGTCGACTTAGCCGGATCGGAAACGTATTCCGAAAGAAGCCCTCGGGCTCAACAAAAGGAAACAACAAAAATTAATTGCTCGCTAAGTGCATTAACTCGAGTAATACGCAGCATTTCAAACAACGATTTGTATATACCTTATAGGGATTCTATATTGACCTACCTGCTTAAGTCTTCTCTAGGAGGCAAGTCAAAAACTTTGATGTTAGTAAATATATCTCCATTAAAAGAACATCTTAAAACATCTCTGCAATCGTTGCAATTTGCCAGTGAAGCAAAAGAATGCAAAACTGGTGGTTTACGAAGCCCGCGGTTAAACGCCAGTAGGGCCAATAGTCCCTATTCTAGGGAGAATTAAAACAATAAAGTTTCTCTCACAGTTTCTCTCTCTCCTTCTCTCCCTCTCTCTTTCCCCTTTCCCTCTCTCTTCTCATCAGAACTTTTTGCCGTGCGGCACACACACACACATATTCTGAGAGCCGTCTTACGGCACACGTTCGCCGGGCAGAACGCATCACGGAATCACCTTTGCCGTCTTGCTCAACCGGGAGTGTGCACGTCTCCTACTGCTTTTTCCTGCCTGCTCTATCGCTTGCTCTCCACCGTTTTGCTTGCTTGCACGAGTTTTGCCATCGCATGCCGACACGGTGAGTCGCTTCGCTTAATATTTTTCAACAATTAAATGGTTCTTAAAATTGCAAAGTATTTTATTTTTCAACAATTAAATGGTTCTTAAAATTGCAAAGTATTTTGACGAGATATAAAAACTCCCTCTCCCCCCTCTCTCTCTCTCTCTCTCTCTTTCTCTCACTTAAAATATTTTTTCCAGGGAATTCGGCAATTAACGATTAACTCGTGCAGTAGCTAATTAAAAAATTATTTCAATGCAATACAAATACTTAGTCCTGAAACGGCTAACGAGATGTATGATTGTGATCTAATTATTTTTTTCAGCAAACACCGCAAGTGACTGGCCGCGAGTACCCGCGGCTGCTATTTGTCCCCAATGCTCGACGCTTATTATCACTGTCGTGGTGGTGCGTCGATCTACGATTACTCACCTTACCGCATTAACGCTCTTTTTGCTGGGGTACGTTTAACATGCGAAAGTGACAAGTGAAATTTCGCCTTATAATAAATCATAGCTTTTATAAAGATTGCACTTTCCATTACACAATTCTTTATCGGTAATTTAATCGTTTATTATTGTATACTAATACTTTTTTTTGTCACTTATTTAATTCTTAGTCCCCAACATCGCTAATTAATTAACGTCCAAATGTGCCTTGAAATAATTGACAAACCATTTCTTTTGATAAATATTATAATTATTAATATTATAATTAATACACATTTATAACAAATACAGCTTTTAAAACATTAAAACATTCGAATAACAATAAGTGTACAAATAATTAAGGAAGTA